ATGCCGCTGTACAATGTAACATCCCCTTTTCACTATTTATGTTATGAGCCCCATGTAATAGGGGGTGAGCCTATTGCCATATACCGGGCACAATTCCAAACTCCGTGCTACTACGGAGATTATTTTAAAAACCCAGTAATAGTAGGGATTCGAACCCGAGACCCCTTGCCCGGCAGTCGTACTTGCGACCACTTTGCCAATGAGGCAGTCTACCTAATTTCATTAAAATCCGTCGAGTAGTTTTTGTTTCCATAACGGTTATATAGACAGATATACATACAAAAATTTCACTGATTGGCACATTTTTGGCATCAGTATCGATCGCTAATCACCCCCTGATGGTTATTTTGCTAATGTAGTTCATATTACGACGTTAATCCAATAAAATAAACGTTCTTACAGACTTCAAAATAAGTCTCTCACACATTTTTTAATAGTCATAGTCAAAAACTTTTAAGTAATTCACAAAAACAAAGTAATAGACATACGACTAAAGATCTAACGTTACGCCGCAATCAAGAGATTAAAGGGAAACGTGACGCGAGCTGCGTATCGTGTAGGAACCTGGCAGCCATTTTTTTTTTAACCATAGGGCGGTACTCTAAAGTGCCACTTAATCCGTCCAACCCTTTGCCGAGAAATCATTGCGGGAGCGATGGCGGTCTCTGCCGCTTTTTTCCCTTCCACTTTGAAAACGAAACCCCCCGTTTCGCATACCAATGCTTGTAATACACACCACTGTTTTACTTTTTTTTCTTTTGCTAATAATCTCGGGTATGTTTTTAAATAATTGTTCGAGGGTTTGTGAGAAACTTTGCTTGAGACGAGACGAGATTTTGCTCTTTTTCGTTTATTGTTTTGTTATTTTTTTCGACGGAGTTTCGGCGTGTGTGAGAATGAGGAGTCTAGCTCGTTCAATGTGTGAGCGGGTACTTGCATTGTCGAATAAAAAAGCAATTCTTGTAAATATAAAATGACATCTCTGTTTGATGAATTACAATACAAATTTGTTTAATGGCACCTACCTACAAAACGTTTATTTAATAAGTTTAAATAAAATGCCTACATGATAGGCTATTGTTAGTTTTTTTATAAATATTTATACTAATATTATAAAGAGGAAAGATTTGTACTACAATAGGCTCACCCCCTATTACATGGGACTCATAACATAAATAGTGAAAAGTGGGTGTTACATTGTACAGTGGCATTAAGTGCCGAAATGTGCACCTCTGCCCTACCCCTTCGGGGATAAAAAGGCGTGATGTTATGTTTATGTTATTTGTACCTAAGTATTTTTGTATGTTTGTAATGAATAGGCTCAAAAAGCACTGGGCCGATTTAAAAAAAAATCACCAATAGAGTGCTACATTCTTCCAATTTGACATAGGCATTTCATTTTGAAAAAAAATAGGGATCCTTGGTAAAATTTGAACATGTAACCGAAGGTGTAGAAAAATGAGTCTTAAAATGTCTTTCATCGAATGCGCTGCCGAAACTATTAGCGATAGAACAAAATAATGTACAACAATATTGAAGAACATCATAATGTCTACAAAAACTCCGCGGTAGCATATGTCCAACAATTGTAGTTATGTCACTACAACAATCCAAATTTCCAAAAATAAATAATTATCTACCCCGTGCGAAGCCGGGACGGGTTGCTAGTATGATATATAAAAGTACTTATGATGCGTTACATTTTGTAATTGTAACTGTACCCACTATATAGAAAAATGAACATATTTCTTATAAAAAAAGGAAATAAGCAAAGATATTGGAAATCCCACTAGATTTTATTTATTTTCAGTGGAATCAAATATTAATAAATGGTAATGAAATCTCGTCTCTTCGTAGATATTTTTTTAGGCGTCAAGATCATACATACCTAATCTATAGGTTGATATTTGTGTGGAAAGTACCTATAATTTATTGGTTACGGATACTTCTATCCTCTATGCTCTGTGCAAATCCACGGAACTAGCTACCTGCTGATCATAAATGCGAAAGGCCGACAGAGTAAAAGACAACCAAAGAAAAGTTGACCAAAAAATAGGAATAACATAATGTGAAAGAGAAGGGTGATTTTGATCCCTTTGGCGATTTAAGGTTAACTCATGATAGACAGTGTCGAGTTAGATCTGAACGTCGGCCGTAGATCGGTACCCAGCTTGTATTGTGTCTGCAATTACAAAGCCTGCGCGCTAACAGTGCACGGGCCACGTGCGTGCCGTTGTTTCTTCCATAGCCAAAAACGCCTTGCCCAAACGTCCCATGGCCGTGCCGTTATCGTGTCTCATATGTGAGCACCATGTTGGACTTTAAGATTTTTATATATTTTTTTAAATTTTCGTAAGTTATTAGTATAATGCGTCAAGCGTGTCTTTGCATTGTTCTTACATATGCGTACAGTATTGAAATATGTATCAGAGACATTGTAGAACATACTTTTTGGAATGAGCACCTAGCTTCACCTAGTTTCACTGACGGACTGACTGACAGACTATTATTTATTTTGTATTTGTTGACGTTTCAAAAGTACCAAACTACCTGTGGTTTAATTGAAATAAATGCTTTCACTTTGACTTTGACTTTGACATAGCTTTAAGCCATATAGTCTGTTAGTATGATTATTTCAAATTCCGTTTTCCAGATATTTGGGATAATATTTCGCGTACATTTTTATACGGATCTTTATTGAATGTACCTACGATTTCCGTAATAAGAATTTCCAAAAAAAATAAAGTTTAATATCGTTCAACATATAGCCACAATATGTTTTAATGTATTTTCTAAAAATACTTGATAACAATACATTTTATTTTATAGATTTTGCTGACTGAATCCTCGCAACTGTCACCGCAACAGGCACGAATATGATTGCACAAGACTAGCCCAACTAAACCTTACATCGGGATTAACGCCACTTTAACCATTCAAGTATCATTCATTCCATAACTATTTCAGATAGTACAGCATTGGAGCGCGAACCAACAAAATGTGGCCAATAGCAATAACTGTACTGACAAATATTTTAATAGTAACGTCTCAAATAGATGGAAATCTGTCTTATGCAAGAAAAATTCTTATAGAAAGGGAACTAAGAATGATGGTGGGTCATTCAATTGAACTCTGTGATAGTGAATTAGAAGCTAATGGAATAATAATGGACCTTAAGCGTAAAGAAATAGATTACGGTTTCTGGAATCCTAAATATTATAATCTATCGAAGCATTTCTTCGAATATAAAGACCTAGTGAAAGATACTAAATTGTACAAAATACTGAAGAGTATGCCTAAGGGTGCAGTGCTCCATGGGCATAGCACAGCTATGCTCGGTCCAGACTATGTACTTAAATTAACTTACTGTAACTACTTGTGGATATGTTTCAAGGAAGACCAATCCGATGTAAGCTTTATTTTTTCAAAATACCGCCCTTCTGGATGGTGTGAAACCAAATGGGAACGAGCGGAGGATATAAGAAGAACGACGAATGTTACAGAATTCGATGCAAAACTTAGAAAATTCTTTACTCTTGTGATCGAAAATCCCCAAGAAGTTTACACCGATGTGAATACAGTATGGGAATATTTCGCGAAGTATTTTACCCGCGTGGGACCCCTACTTAAATATAAACCAGTGTGGGAGAAGTATTATTACGATACGTTACTTGCTTTAAGAGAAGACAACGTCATGTATTTCGAAATTAGAAGTGGATTGTCACCATTGTACGACTTGGAAGGCAATATTTATGACTCCGTAGACACAGCCAAAAGTTACAAGCGAGTGACAGAAAAATTCAAGAAAGATTATCCAGATTTCTTCGGTGCCAAACTGATTTATGCTCCTCAAAGACTAATAGATAAAGAAACTTTGAGGAATTATATCAAAATAGCCAAAGAAATTCATAAACTGATGCCTGATTTCCTTGCGGGTTTTGATTTAGTCGGTCAAGAGGATTTGGGAAGGCCGTTAAAGGATTTTTATCCCGAAATAGCAAATATCGGCCTGAATTTGTATTTTCATGCAGGCGAAACAAATTGGTACGGTACAAGTACAGATGAGAACTTATTTGATGCTGTACTTCTTGGCACAAAGAGGATTGGGCATGCATATGCTTTAGTGAAGCATCCTTTGTTAATGGAAGAGGTCAAGCAGAGAAAAATAGCTTTAGAAGTTAATGTCATTTCAAATGTCGTTTTGTAATTAGTCGATGATGTAAGGAATCATCCGCTAGCTACGTACTTGAGCCAAGATATGCCTGTAGTAGTATCGAGCGACGATCCAGGTGCTTGGGAAGCTGAGATATTGACTCATGATTTTTATGTTGCCTTTGTGGGAGTATCTAGTCGGCACGCAGATCTTAAAATGTTGAAGCAGTTGGCTTTGAATTCTCTATACTATAGTTCATATAGTGAGAAGGATAAATTGGTGCGTGAGTTCCAAATCCGTTGGATGAAGTTCATTGATTCAATTGTTAAATATCAATGGATTTATGATTAGAATCTTGACTTGTATTTGCTGATTGTTTTTTTTTCTCCTGTTGTGTACATTATATTAATTTGCTATATATGTTGGTGTTCTTTTGTATTGTAATAACGGAATACAAATCTACGATATTACAAAGCGGTAAGTAAGTAAATTCCTCAATATTGCGGACAGAAGCCTTAAAGGAACTAGAATTTGCATCAAACAACGCCAATACAACAAGCCAAGCAATAGTGCGCTGTCAGCGCGCAGGAAGCCGAAATCGCCGTGCTTCAGCCGTTCCATAGTCATGCCATTAGTGACGTACCATGACCTTAGGTCATAAAGTTCGTTACTGAGATGTTGTTTTATTCCAAATTTACTTGGATAACAAATTTTTTCATTTTTTTATTTTTCATGAAATTTTCGTGAACTTACAAAAAATAAGCTTCAGTTTCGTTCAACACATACCGCTGCTATTTATTTGTTAAAAACCTAATTTGCACAATTCATTTTATTGTTACAGATTTTCCTGGCTGAATCCTTGCAATTGTCACCGCAACAGGCGCAAATAAGGTTGCACAAGACTGGCTCAACTATACCTTACATCGGCATAGTAAATTTAATTTTATGTCAGATCGTTACAAATAAACATTATCAGTTTTCCCATACCCAATCTCAGATCATACGACATTTGACCCCAGACAAACGAAATGTGGCTTCTTACAATAATCTTATTAACAAATATTTTAATGGCAACGTCAAAAATATATGACAGTCCGGCCTATTTCAGAAATATTCTAATAGAAAAGGAACTAAAAATGATGGTCGGTCATTCAATTGAACTCTATGATAATGAATTAGAAGCTAATGAAATAATAATGGACCTTAAGCGTAAAGAAATAGACTATGGTTTCTGGAATCCCAAATACTATAATCTATCGAAGCATTTCTTCGAATATAAAGACCTAGTGAAAGATACTAAATTGTACAAAATACTGAAGAGTATGCCTAAGGGTGCAGTACTCCATGGGCACGACACAGCTATGCTCGGTCCAGACTATGTACTTAAATTAACTTACTGTAACGACTTGTGGATATGTTTCAAGGAAGACCAGTCCGATGTAAGCTTTATTTTTTCCAAAAACCATCCTACTGGACGATGTGAAACTAAATGGGAACGAACAAAGGACATTAGAAGAACTATGAATGTTACAGAATTTGATGCCAAACTTAGACAGTTCTTTACTCTGGTGATTGACAATCCTGAAGAAGTTTACACCGATGTGAATACGGTATGGGAATATTTCTCAAAGTATTTTGCCCGTACGGAACCTCTGTTCACTTATAAACCAGTGTGGGAGAAGTATTATTACGATACGTTACTTGCTTTAAGAGAAGACAACGTCATGTACTTTGAAATTAGAAGTGTGTTGCCACCATTGTACGACTTAGAAGGCAATATTTATGACTCTGTAGACACAGCCAAAAGTTACAGGCGAGTGACAGATAAATTCAAGAAAGATTATCCCGATTTCTTCGGTGCCAAACTGATTTATGCTCCTGTAAGATCGGTGACCAGGGAGACTTTGAAAAATTATATTAAAATAGCTAAAGAAATTCATGAGCTAATGCCTGATTTCCTTGCGGGTTTTGATTTAGTCGGTCAAGAGGATTTGGGAAGGCCGTTAAAGGATTTTTATCCCGAAATAGCAAATATCGGCCTGAATTTGTATTTTCATGCAGGCGAAACAAATTGGTACGGTACAAGTACAGATGAGAACTTATTTGATGCTGTACTTCTTGGCACAAAGAGGATTGGGCATGCATATGCTTTAGTGAAGCATCCTTTGTTAATGGAAGAGGTCAAGCAGAGAAAAATAGCTTTAGAAGTTAATGTCATTTCAAATGTCGTTTTGAAATTAGTCGATGATGTAAGGAATCATCCGCTAGCTACGTACTTGAGTCAAGATCTGCCTGTAGTACTATCGAGCGACGATCCAGGTGCTTGGGAAGCTGAGATTTTGACTCATGATTTTTATGTTGCCTTCGTGGGAGTGTCTAGTCGGCACGCAGATCTTAAAATGTTGAAGCAGTTGGCTTTGAATTCTCTATACTATAGTTCATATAGTGAAAAGGATAAATTGGTGCATGAATTCCAAATCCGTTGGATGAACTTCATTGATTCAATTGTTAAAGATCAATGAATTTATTTTTAGAACCTCGACGTATATTTGCTATCTCATTGTTTTTTATACTAAAATAAAAATATATCATCTTATTTGTATGTTGAATTTGTGTGTTTTTATTACAAACCTACGATATTTTAAGCGGTGAGTAGTAGGTGTTTTTTCTACTTGATTGGCCGACGTTTGCCGACGTTTGGTAAGCGATGATGCGTTCTACGATGGAGGACGTTGTCCCATAAGCAGCCTATTCACTTGGGTCTTGAATACCCTTCAGGAAATACAGAGTCTGGCAAAGAATTCCACTCCTTAGCTGTACATGCAAGGAGGAAGCTATTGTTGCTATGATTACCATTGTGCCTCTAAAAAAATCATACAAAATACAAATTCATTCTCTGAGATTTGATAAATTGTATTTTACTTTCACTAGTTATGTTTCAAGTCCCATGTATTTGAAGGTAAATTTTACTGGCTATAGTTAAAGGATTCTGAACTATCAACATACCCGAGGGTACGGCACGTCGCGTTCTGCGCCCGCCTCAAAGAGCCATCAGACCACCACAGATAGGGCCCTACAGGGCCGATGCCGATTCGGAGTCGCGGAGAACCTAACGGGTAACCGGGGCTCCGGCTCGACGTGCAGGAGAAGGAACGGGGTAGTTTTTAGTCAATACAGTCTGACACTCCCACCCACCTCACCTAGGCGGGAGCAGCCATTCGATGATTTAAAAAAAAAACTTTCAACATGTTTAAGAATATGTAAAATCGAAACACGCGATTAGTTTCTTTTACTTGGAAATCAAAGCCAACACTTTTTGTAATGTTGTCGTGTGAGATGTGACCCATAAGCACTTTTATGTATGTGATGAGTCAACCTTTCACCACTCTCTCATCTGGTGGTACAGGACGATGCAGCCTACAATATAACACACCTGTCCATGAGCACTTGCTTGTTTATTTAACCCGTCGTGTGTCTAAACGTGGATGCATGCGAGAGAATATGTATTTTCTATTGTGTCATATTCAAGCGGTTAATCTTCAATCGCCTTAACTATAATTTCATTCAAATAGCTTTTGTCCGCAACTGCGTCCGCATGGACCTGGAAAGATTTGAATTTTTCCAAGATCTATTTTACGACTGTATCTCATCAGTAGGTACCTACTTGAGTTTTTTTTATTATAAGATCATAAAAGGTGGCGAGTTGTCGTTCGACGTGGAGGACTAAAGGACAGGCCTTTGGACGTCTTCCGACTGTTGATGATGATAAGAGAATGAAAAAAATACAGTATAAACTGAAAGATGAACCATGATAAACTAGTTAGGCATAGCTCGAAGTGTAGCCATGTGATGAGTACCGGACATGTAAAAGCAGCGCATAACGTGGTGGTATTAAGATATGTAGCAAAAGAAAGCGTCAATTGTTATGGAAATATAGACAAAAACCTACCGATATAAATAAAAATAAATTTAAAAATTATTCAAAAGTACTTAAAAAAATTATTTATTTAACTCAACGAGCACAGAACACGCATAAAATTCAAAAATCAAACAATAGGTCTAAGACTACTTGGGAAATAATAAATCAAAGAAAATTAAATTTACCAAAAAATACTATAGACAAAATTCTATATAATAATGAAACTGTTACTGACCCCAGGATTATAGCAGATATATTTAATAACTATTTTATAGATAAAATAAAACCTATAACTAGTTCGGGAACCATAGTCACTAAACATATTTTGGCAAAAAAAGACTCAATGTTTATGGCGCCTAGTCTGGCAATTGATGTATTAAAAATTATAGCGGCCTTAAAAAATACAAACTCTGTAGGAGACGATGGCATATGTACAAAAATTGTAAAGTCAGTGGCATATGAAATCAGTAGTCCCTTAAGTTACATAATTAATTTAAGCATAAGTGAAGGTATATTTCCAATTGAGCTAAAAAAATCAATTATAAAACCACTGTTTAAGAAACAAGACAGGGAGCAAGTGGAATTTTACAGGCCAGTATCACTTATATCAGTAATGTCGAAAATTTTTGAAAAATACATTTATAGGGAACTTAATAACTATTTTGAAAAAAATAATATACTCTGTGACGAACAGAAAGGATTTAGGGAGAAAAAAACAATCAATTTGGCCATATATGATTTCTTGTATAATGTTATGACAAACATGGATAAAAACACACCAGTCTGCGCCATTTTCTGCGACATGACACAGGCTTTCGACTACGTACAGCATAATATACTACTAAATAAACTTGAGGCATATGGTATCAGGGGAAATGTTTTAAATCTAATAACATCATACCTACATAATAGAAAACAAGTAACCCAAATTAGTAGAATAAATGTGAACACTCAACGTGAAGAAATTTTCACATCATGTGCGCGTACAGCTCCTCATGGAGTTCCGCAAGGTAGTGTACTTGGACCGCTCCTATTTACTCTGTATATCAATGATTTCCCTAAAGCCATTAAACATCCGATGACTCTGTTTGCCGATGACAGTACGATTACTATACCATGCCATGAAAAAACTAATTATGAAATGGACATAAAAAGTACTTTAATTGAAGCGGTAAAGTGGCTTGATAATAATAATTTAAAAATTAATATAAATAAAACTATGATTATGCATTTTAGTAATCGATTATCCTTATTTTCTAATCTTGACATCGAATATAATAATAATAGAATACAAATTGCTGAAACCACAAAATTTTTAGGACTGATAATCGACAAAAATTTAAATTGGAAAGCGCATGTTGAATCTCTAGCCAAACGAATAAGCAGTGCGGCATACGCGTTATATAAATTATCGCGTACTGTAAATATAGAAGCGTTATTGACGGCCTACTATGGTTTGGTTGAATCGGTCATTAGATACGGTGTAATCTTTTGGGGTAACTCAACCGATAGGGATGTCATTTTTAAGAGACAAAAATACTGCTTGCGATCTATGTTTAATCTTAAACCTACTGACAGCTGTAAAAATTACTTTATTAAATATCGTGTATTAACATTGCCTTCACTTTATGTATTAGAAATAACAATGTTCGTGAAGACAAATCCACATTTGTTTCCTCGTATGGCAGACAGATTTCCAAGAAATAGACGTGACGATAGCCAACTATGTTTACATACATCAAAAACTGCACTTATGCGCAAGAGTGTATTTTGCATGGCACCAATTATCTATAATAAATTACCCAAAAGTTGGAAAGAACTAACTATACCTAAACTAAAACAAACAATGAAATTGTTTTTGGCACAGAAAGCTTATTACAGTATAACGGAATTTTTAAGTGAGTCAGTGATTGTTATAAATAAATAACAATAAAAACTAACATTGCCCTAATTAAGGTTGTGTCACAGTGGAGGACACAAAGAAACATATTGTTAATATTATTACAATTGAATGTTATTAAATAATAAGTAAAATATATAATCTGTATAATAATAATTAAATCATTTTTAGTAAATATTAATTGAATATGAACAAATTAATTAATAATGTATAATGATACTGCAGATATTTAATGTAGGTATGAGTGTAAATTTTAAAATTAATGTAATAATTCACAGTCATCAAAAAATTTTTTTTATATAATAGATATTTGCACGCCATGATAAATGGCAGACATGTCGTAAGCCACTTTTGTCTAAGATCTTGCATGCTGTATTATTTTAATTCTGTATGCACACACATGTTTGAGCAAATAAAATTCTTATTCTTATTCTTATTCTTATTCTTATTCTTATTCTTATTCTTATTCTTATTCTTATTCTTATTCTTATAACGTCCCCCATAAGGCAGATAGACGACCTGATAGAATAGAAGTCATGAGGGGAGTACGATTTTTTCTCGCATTGTGTGAGGCGAGGAGGAGAGTTCCGGATCGAGCATCAGCCCTACTGAGCCCCATTAGTGGTAGTGGGATGGCGTTTGGGACTATGTTCAGCTACTGACATGATAGTTAAGGATCGATGCTCTACCACGGTTTAGTTGACCATGATTGTCGAGGGATGAAAGAGGAGTGGACAGCTAAGAAAAGTTGGATAGTTTGTGTGAAAGAAAAGGAAGAGGACTTGCAATTTTATGATTAGGGATGTCATTAAGTTATGTTATGAGCAATTACTATTTTGTTTCTGTCAAATGTTAGTATACAATGCATAAGCAACCTTATAAGACCTTAGACAAGTCTAATTAATAGGCCAACGAGATTTTATGTTAAACAGAATCCATTGATTTCAGTCACCTTCAAAAGTCATGCAGTTTATTAGTGTAATGTTTTTAATTTTTATTTTATTAAGGTATTTTGGATAATATTATTTATATTTTTACATAGAACTTTGGTGTATCTACGATTTTCATGATAAGATTTTACATACAAAATAAATTAAGTTTCAACATTAAAATTTTTCTCAAATTTCGCACTACTGTCACTAACGCAACACGTGCGAACATGCTTGCACGAGACTAGCCCAACTATACCTTCCATTGGCGTAGTAAATTGAATATTACAAAATAACATTATCAATGCAGGTATCAGTGATTCCATATCAATCCTCAGATAATACGGCATTGGACCGCGAACCAACAAAATGTGGCCACTAACAATAATCTTATTGACAAATATTTTACTAGCAATGTCACAAATACATAAAATTGTGCTCAAAGAAAGAGAAACTCTTATAGAAAGGGAATTAAAAATGATGGTCGGTTATTCAATTGAACTCAGTGCTACTGAATTAGTAGCCAATGAAATAATAATGGACCTTAAGCGTAAAGAAATAGACTATGGTTTCTGGAATCCCAAATATTATCATCTATTGAAACATTTCTTCGAATATAAAGAGCTAGTGAAAGATACTAAATTATACAAAATACTGAAGAGTATGCCTAAGGGTGCAGTGCTTCATGGACACGATACAGGTATGCTCGGTCCAGACTACGTGCTTGAATTAACTTATTGTGATGACTTATGGATATGTTTCAAGGAAGACCAATCCGATGTAAACTTCGTCTTTGCGAAACACCGCCCTACTGGATGGTGTGCAACTAAATGGGAACGAGCGATGGATATAAGAAGAACTACGAATGCTACAGAATTCGATGCAAAACTTAGAAAATTCTTTACTCTTGTGGTCGTCAATCCCCAAGAAGTTTACACAGATTTGGATACAGTATGGGATTATTTCATGAAGTATTTTATCCGCACGGGACCTCTGTTCACTTATAAACCAGTGTGGGAGAAGTATTATTACGATACATTATTTGCTTTAAGAGAAGACAACGTCATGTACTTTGAAATTAGAACTGTATTGCCACCATTGTACGACTTGGAAGGCAATATATATAACTCCGTAGACACAGCCAAAAGTTACAAGCGAGTGACAGAAAAATTCAAGAAAGATTATCCAGATTTCTTCGGGGCAAAATTGATATATGCTCCTGTAAGGTCAGTGGCTAGAGAAACTTTAAAAAACTATATCAAAGTAGCTAAAGAAATTCATAAGTTGATGCCGGATTTCCTTGCGGGTTTTGATTTAGTAAGTCAAGAAGATTTAGGAAAGCCTTTAAAAGAATTTTATCCTGATTTAGCAAAAAGTGGCTTGAATTTGTATTTTCATGCAGGTGAAACGAATTGGTATGGTACAAGTACAGATGAGAATTTATTTGATGCTGTTCTTCTTGGCACAAAGAGGATTGGACATGCATTTGCTTTAGTGAAGCATCCTTTATTAATGAAAGAGGTTAAGAAGAGAAAGATAGCTCTAGAGGTTAACGTGATATCAAATGTTGTTTTGAAGTTAGTCGATGATGTAAGGAATCATCCGTTAGCTACTTACTTGAGTCAGAATATGCCTGTAGTACTATCGAGCGACGATCCAGGTGTTTGGGAAGCTGAGATATTGACACATGATTTTTATGTTGCCTTTATGGGAGTGTCTAGTCGGCACGCAGATCTTAAAATGTTGAAGCAGTTGGCCTTAAATTCTCTTTACTATAGTTCATACGGAGAAAAGCATAAATTGGTGCGTGAGTTTCAAATCCGTTGGATGAAGTTCATTGGCTCAATTCTTAAAATGAAATAGATTCATGTTTAGAATTTCGTCGTGTAATTGTATTTTCTACAACTGTGTAAATTATGATTAATTTGTTTTATACGTTAGTTTTCGTTAATGTTAAACGCTTTTGCGAGATTCTTGGGATAGTATATATTATCAGTGTTTTCCGGGGTCTCACTTAATCTCTGTACATAATTTTATTTAAATTGGTTGGAAGACCAAGAGTTTTGGAATTTTTACACCGTTATTCTTGGTTTTGGACGATTTACGGAATAAAGACTATCGTACATCCTTCCTCGAGTCCTAAACATTCTTCTTCGTCTTTTAAAGCCTACTGTACCACTTCTCTGCATCACCTTATGGTTGGCTGGTAGAGAATGTCATTCGGCATTAAGTCCGCCATTGTATATAGTTGTACATAAAGTGTTAAATAAAATAAAATAAAATAAACTATATCAGTTCGTAATGTCATCTCAATCGGTTCGGTGATTAAAGCGTGAAAAAGAGACAGATCCGCGAGTTACTTTCGCATTTAAATAACGTGAATAGAATTCAAACACACAAGCAAACTCTCCTGCTTTATGTATTAGTAAGTATTTATACATGTATTTAAACGTGTTTTCTAAATAACAAACCTTGATAATACAATGTAATTGCAAGCAGTACAATTTGTTGTAATAGAATTTGCTGACTGAACTTAAATTACGCAACTGTCACCAACCTAACAGGCACGAATACGCTTGCACAAGTAGTCTTGTGCTGTACCTTACATCGGCATAGTAAATTGAATATTACGTCATATCGTTACAAATAAACATTATCAAGTCAGGTATCAGTTATTCCATACCAATCTCAGATAGTACGGCATTGGACCGCGAACCGACAAAATGTGGCCACTAACAATAATCTTATTTACAAATATTCTACTAGTAATGTCTCAAATACATGAAAATGTGCTCCAAGAAAGAGAAACTCTTATTAAAAAGGAACTAAAAATGATGGTGGGCAATTCAATTGAACTAAGTGACAGTGAATTAATGGCTAATGAAATAATAATGGACCTTAAGCGTGAAGAAATAGACTATGGTTTCCGGAATCCTAAACATTATAATCTTTCGAAGCATTTCTTTGAATATAAGGAGGTGGTGAAAGATACCAAATTGTACAAAATATTGAAGAGTATGCCTAAGGGTGCAGTGCTCCATGGACACGACACAGCTATGCTCGGCCCAGACTACGTACTTGAATTAACTTATTATGACGACTTGTGGATATGTTTCAAGGAAGACCAATCCGATGTAAGTTTTATTTTTTCAAAATACCGCCCTTCTGGATGGTGTGAAACCAAATGGGAACGAGCGGAGGATATAAGAAGAACGACGAATGTTACAGAATTTGATGCCAAACTTCGAAAATTGTTTACTCTTGTGATTGACAATCCCCAAGAAGTTTACACCGATGTAAATACGGTATGGGAATACTTTTCAAAGTATTTTATCCGTACGGGGCCTCTATTTACTTACAAACCAGTGTGGGAGAAGTATTATTACGATACATTATTTGCTTTAAGAGAAGACAACGTCATGTATTTCGAAATTAGAAGTGTATTGCCACCATTGTACGATTTGGCCGGCAATGTTTATGATTCTGTAGACACAGCCAAAAGTTACAAGCGAGTTACAGATAAATTCAAGAAAGATTATCCCGATTTCTTCGGGGCTAAATTGATATATGCTCCTCTCAAATTAGTGGACAGAGCGACTGTGAAAAATTATATTAAAATAGCTAAAGAAATTCATGAGCTGATGCCTGATTTTCTTGCGGGTTTTGACTTAGTCGGTCAGGAGGATTTAGGAAGGCCGTTAAAAGAATTTTATCCCGAACTAGCGAATGTCGGCCTGAATTTATATTGTCATGCAGGAGAAACGAATTGGTATGGTACAAGTGCAGATGAGAACTTATTCGATGCTGTTCTTCTTGGCACGAAGAGGATTGGACATGCATTTGCTTTAGTGAAGCATCCTTTGTTAATGAAAGAGGTCAAGAAGAGAAAGATAGCTCTGGAGGTAAACGTCATATCAAACATTGTTTTGAAGTTAGTCGATGATGCAAGGAATCATCCGTTAGCTACATTTTTGAGTCAAGATATGCCTGTAGTACTATCAAGCGATGATCCAGGTCCTTGGGAAGCTGAGATTTTGACTCATGATTTTTATGTTGCCTTCGTGGGAGTGTCTAGTCGGCACGCAGATCTTAAAATGTTGAAGCAGTTGGCTTTGAATTCTCTATACTATAGTTCATATAGTGAGAAGGATAAATTGGTGCATGAATTCCAAATCCGTTGGACAAAGTTCATTGATTCAATTGTTAAAGATCAATGGATTCATGTTTAGAATCTCGATGTGTATTTGCTATCTGATTGTTTTTTTTTCTATTGTTGTGTAAAATTAAATTATATGTATTAATTTATTTACATTTTTGTTTTCTTTCGTGTCAATCCCAAGTTACAGTGGTTGTAGTAGCAATGTGTTATACAAACCTAATAATAAAAAACGCCAAGTAAGAATAATATCTACTTCTTAAAAAATCATAATATATTAAATATAAACTCATTCTGTGAGAATTTATAAATTGTATTTTACTTTCACCAGTTATGTTGTACGTCCCATTTATTCGAAGTTGAGTTCAAATAGCTATAGGTGCTTGACTCCGAGATTGGAATTTTAGAAATATCCGAAATCGTAACACCAATAGTAATTTTATTTGATTTGTCAATTAAACCCTTCTTTACAATGTAGACTGCCTCGTTGACCGAGTGGTCGGAAGTGCGACTGCCCGGCAAGCGGTCTCGGGTTCGATTCCCGGGTCGGGCAAAGTATTACTGGGGTTTTTTAAAACATCTCAGTAGTAGCACAATTGTGCCCGGTATATGGCAATAGACTCACCCCCTATTACATGGGACTCGTAACATAAAGAGTGAAAAGTGGGTGTTACATAGTACAGTAGCATAATGTGCACCTCTGCCTACCCTTTCGGGGATAAAAAGGTATGATGTTATGTTATAATGTAGTCGTGTGAGATGTGACATTATATGTTAAATCTCCTTAACTATTATTATAATTTTATTATCATCATATTTATTACCTGGTTCCTCTTAGTTACAACTGAAGCCGAGGGAAATACCTAGATAATAAAATACGTAATGATTTGTAGATAATTATCTATTAATCAGGTATCAGGTCAATTAATTTCATTTTATCACGTTTTACCTACGGCTTATTATTAATAATTGTACTATTAATAAACAACTTAAGGTAAACGCTACAATGTTTAGCATCGCATTTTTGCAATACAGAGCTGCAGACGAGTTTAGGGATCTCCTGATGATATGAAATCGGTACCGCTCATAGACACCCTCAACGCTAGAGGAGTTACAAGGGCGTAGATGGCCTTTTGAGGATTAGGGATTTAGAGATGGGGGCTCCCCGGTTGCATTGCATTTTCTTTTTTTAAGGGGAAAATCATCCAATTACTTCTCCCGTCCAGGTGAGACGAGAGGGAGTGTCAGACCATACTAAAAACCACGCCGTTCCTACTCCTGCTCTTCTCCTGCTCTTCACACCGCAGCTGCGGCAACCTGTTGAATCCTCCGCGGCCTGTATCGACATCAGCCCCAAAAAGCATCTTTGGTGGTCTAATGGCTCTTTGAGACACGCGTGTCACGCGACGTGCCGAACGCTCGGGTCTGGTTTTGTAGGGCGATGAGCTACCCGTGCTCGTCCTCCGCAGGCCCTTGCCTGTGGCCAGATATCATCTCGCAGTCTCCTACGCCCAGGGTCCTTACTCTTGAATCTAATTCCGATCGATGGACATTGACATTGTGAAATTTCGTACTCTTGAGTTGTAACACTAGCGCCTTTTGCATCCGTATTGCGTGGATATTTCATGAAATAGATGGTATTGAGTTTGGTTTTATATTCCGTACTCTTAAATGGTGCGGGGTATAGTTTTGACATTAGATACATTATTGAGATTTTATTGGATTGAAATTGCATTGACATTGAGATTGGTTTCAAGAGTAAGCACCCAGGTGTCATATTTAAGTAATGCACTGCTGATGTTGTTACAGCTAAAATTACTTTCACCCTATTTTTAAATTTGCTAACTCAATGAGTAATAATAATATCATATCCGATAAGACAGGTGAATAAAATGATAGCAACTAATATAATGACTATCTAAATCCTATTGCGTCGTCCATATTAAATGATTAATCGTCTTTCTATACTGTTTTCGGACGTGTCGATGGAAACAATTTACCTAATCGGCGTATTAAAATTCTTCAAATAAGGCTTGGTATATACAGGACCTATGTTACCCTCATACCTAAGTCATTGATCGGCAGTTTGATGACGGCGAACTTGAAGTATTTACTTTCCACGTTACAAGTTGGCAAAAGAGAGCAAAATAAAATGATGTAACTATATTCTATATCCACATAGAAGTTATACCTATGTTATGATTCCCAAGCAGTGCGATAAGCGACTAGAAAAACAAAACTGTAGTTGACTGGGGTAACTACCTATACTTAGGTACTTACGGTATACGTGCATAATTTTTCGAGGATTTGACTCGACTAGTTTCAAGTCACGCCTGGGGCTCATAATCGTGAGCAGCATGTGCGACATCTAGTACTACAGTTACACGTAAAATGTTGTTGTTGTTTTTTTTATTGTTTAACAATTTTATTTGATTTTCAAAATGAATTATCTCAAATTTAATTCTTGCATGATAAAATGAAAATGTCTTTACAATTAATTATATTGTCTATTCATTTGGACTAATGACCTCTAATTATTACTTACATTATTTTATAATTTTTATCTTTATAATAATTGATAGCTTGGCAACAAAATTATCAATTTGTTATCAACATCGGATCGTCAACCTAACAATAACGATACGTAATTTTATTGATAAAAAATAATTAATGGGTACCTAGATAATGTCCTATTTTATAAATTATT